TGTGGATGCTATGATCCACAGATGGCAAGTCCACGGATATGGAAAGCCTACTGTACTATGCATAACAGAGTGTACCAAAGGGATGTCACTGCTGCTGATGTGCAAAGCACCACAGCTGTTGCCGTCTGTCTACTTTTGCAGAATTTACCCAGGTACTTCATACTTCTAGAGCAGAACTCTTATTTGACTAGTTGAATTTCATGCTTGTTTTCACACAACCTGTTTTGCATATTGTATACGTCTTTCAGGGCTAATAGGTTGCTTTGGTTAAGATAAAGATTTTGCAAAAACACATGTACAGACTTAGAAGTGTTTGAGTTTTCTTGGATTTTGGATTTTTTGCTTATACATAATGAGATTTCTTGGAGGTGGGACTCAAGTTTAAATATGAAATTCATTTATGTTTCATGTGTATCTTATACACATAGCCTGAAGGTGTTAAGTAATTTTAAATAAATTTTGTGCATGAAACTTTGGGCCTTTGCAGACTGCCAGAAATAGTGCAAATTGAGTTCACTTTAACTGCCCTGACTCAGTGCTAGGGAATCATGGGAACTGTAGTTTATTGTGCCACTTGAGCTCTCTGACAGAGAAGGCTCAGTGTCTCAGAAAAAAATACAATTCCCATGATTCCCTAGCACTGAGCCAGGGCAGTTAAAGTGGACTCAATTTGCACTATTTCTAGCAGTCTGCAAAGGCCCAAAGTTTGTTGTGTACATTGAACCATCACTGTTTCAGCCACTCATGCAGACAATTTTGAATTTTGGAATATTTTGACTATCGGAATTCCCAATAAGGAAGACTTAACCTGTACATAGTTTCAGGTATTTGCATTGTGTAGATAAAAAAAGCAGTTGGGCAAAGAGTCGTATTCTGATTGGTAAAGGATAGTTGTGGCTTTGCTAACTATGTACTACATGTATCTGCCTTCCTAGAACCATCCTACTATCGTGCAAAAGCTGGTCACATGCCCATTTAATGCCCGTCATCAGGTCCCCAGAGAAGAGATCAGCCAACACATATCAAGCTGCGATGACAAAAGATGTATTGAGCAGGACATTGGTAAGAAATCCATTTGTGTCAATTGACTGTTAGCAGCTGCAACTGCTACCTCTGCTGTTAACATTTTAAAAGAACTGTTGAATGATTTTCTCCTCTTGTCTTCTAAAAGTCCTTCCAGAGTTTATTATGTGTTAAAAACTCACTTGTGTTCCCCTGATCTGTTGTTTGGAGTGACATAAGTAGCATGCTTCCCTCATCCCCTTATGAGCTTGCACACACTTTGAGCTCCTGGTTTTACAAACCAGTGATTCTTATTGTTAAATTCTGTATCTTAAATTATATGTTAAAATGAAAACTACTTGGATTCTTGCCAGCAAAGAAGGACATCAGTAATAAAGATCTTAGGTCACTCACATCTCCTGTTCAGTTTTGGTATGAAGCAAGTAGGCAGGGACAAAAAGTTGT